TTCCAAATTAAATAATATTAACTGAGCAGTTTAAAAATACAGAAACACCATTGAAAGTAATGTTTCATCATCTAAGACTGATCTATAAAATTGCACTCTGTAGCCTCACACTAATCAGGGCTACTGCCCTTGGTTTCCATTCAGCTTCCGTTCTACCATTTTTATATAGAAAATACGATATTCTGAAACTTAGGTTGGGGCTTGCATCAGACATAGTCTTCATGCAGATTAGTTTCTGAAATCATAGGGTTGGATTTATCGAAGTTGCACCATACAGATGTTGTGTATTGATTGCACAGAACATAACAAAATAAAAACAAAGCAAAATAAAACCAGACGTTTGTCCTACAAACTGGTAAAATAAATGATGAGAGAAGTTGAAAGCCCTGTGTTCCTCAGACCAGCCTTTATTTGTCTCAGGTCTAGAGATGTAGATTTTAATCCTGCTTCACACTGTGCCCGAGATTGCTTTCTCCACCCTCAGCCATATTTTCCAGAGTGCAAAATATGTTTGCTTGTCAACAGTTTAGCCTTTTTTTTTCTTAAACTCAGAAGAATCTCTCTACGTTTTATCTTTTTCTTTAAGAGAATATCAAAATTCCAGCAACAGGTTTTGGTGCCTCTGTGCCACATGATCCATTGTTTGCATATGAACTCAGGTGACTAGGAAATTGATAGTAAAAGGAAATCAAGAATTTAGTGCAGGTAAAGAACTTATTTTGATACATATCATATGAAAAGTTCCTCTTACTTCCTCTTTCTGATTTTGATGTATTCTGTGGCAAAAGACACACCGTTATAAATCACCTAGTTTAGATCTTGTATTAAAAAAAAGCCATAGAATCCACAGTATTTCCTTTGTTTGTACATCTCAAGTGAATTATATGACTTCTCTTTAAAGATACTTTACTTATAAGGTGTTTGCAATTATCTAGTTTTCCAAATGAATTACGATACTCTCAATAAAATGAAATATCCTGTAACAAAATATATTGCCAAATACATGACGAAACATCCGTCAGGTTATCTCTCAGTTGGATTCCTAAAATGATGAAAACTGAATTAAGACAGCTTTGCCCAGGCAAGCACATCTAACTTAGTATAGCTCTACAAAATAATTGGAACTTCTTTTCTCTGAAACTGACTGAAATTTTATCCAAAACAGCTTAGTACGCTTGATACAACGTGAGGAACTAATTATATTTTACATTAGTCCTATGATGCTCTTTGGGATTTTCTTTTCCAACAGATGTGGGATCATCGCTGAAGCCAGTGTCATTCTTGGCGTTGGCTGCTGTTTGGATTTTACCCTGTTTCATGTGTTCCAAATAAGTTTTCAAATGTCTTTAACTAGTGTTAATATACTGTTGTAGGAATTTACTTAGAACTATCTATTAGCAGTAAAGACAGCATTCCCTGTGACAAAGAATTAATAAAAAGGCACACAATTTAAGAATGCATCATAAAATCTAATGCCTGACAATCAGATTTATGATCCACTAAGTAAATTCACTGGACCTAACTTCTGTATTAAGTCAAGGGCATTGGCTGAGATCAAAACCGAAGAGATTTTAATTAAAGGAACATTTGGAATCTAGGATCCTTAGCAATACATTCCTAATCTAAATCTAATTACATGTCTATAATTGCAACAGATTGCTTTGTAAACTTTTCTAAGTGATAGGAAATGAGTAATAGTGAACTTCAGTATAATGATCAAAAATTTCTCATTCTGGCAGTCCTGAGCTGTGTCATCTTGGAGAAACATGATGAGAACGTATAATTTTTAAAAGCAGAATCAGGCAAACAGCTGTATTCATTAGAACCCAAGCAATCCCGTTTACTCCTCATGCTTGTTTCATGTAGTCCATTTTTCTAAAATATTTCGTTATTTAAGTTTGCCGCTTCCATGTTGTTGCTTGACATTTTTGTATGGTAAAGGATGTATGGTATGCTACAACTTTAGAGTCATCCTAAAGACAAGAAGTAGCCAAGTCAATTAACGTGAGCATATAAAAACCTGTGTTGTCATGTCTTGATAGTGAGACATCATCTGGTATTATTGTTTGTTTGATCTACCAGCAGATGCCTTTTAGGAATATCACTATTCTGCCTTTGGCCAGTTAGTTATTGAGCTTTTAAGTATAGGATCTACTACGGTATCTTCTTACGGCATTTCACAGTTCTGTGCATGTGAACAGCATTCCATCCCAAGTGACGTTACAGGGGGTCAAGGTATTGTAAGCAGTCTTTCCTAAGTGAAAAGGCTAGTGGAAAAGAAAGTGATTCTGCTAATTGGCAGACTTTCATTTGTATCAATGCTTCCTGAAAGCTCTCTTGGTTACTATAAGAGCAATCTGTGATTATAGCTTGTTCAATGAATTATGTATCCACCAAAAATGAAAGACAGGCAACTTCAGAAAATCGTTCTTTTTAAAAGTCATGAATCATGAACAGTATCAGTTAACTAGTGATTTTGTTGTCTTGATATATTGAGAATTTATGTTCCTCTTGATCTTTTCAGATGTATTTTTTTAAAATCTCATTATCGGTATTATTCTCTATAATGATAAGCAGTATTCAGTGGCTCATTTATCTTATCACTGTATTTGTGCCAATGTGGCGCTAATTGGGTATATCGGGTATTTAGTTCATGTTTTTATACTGGCAGTTTCTTTCTAATGGATATAACTTGAGTGAAAAAAGAAAGTTACTATTATCAAGATAAGCTTTTTCCACTAATAGGTCATATAGTTAATCATGTTTATACTCCAGAAATTTTGTGTGTGTAAATTGTTGTAAGCATGTACTTTGCTTATGTACAAGCTAATCTAATCTTGACATTTTAAAAGGCCTTTCCACAACTTCTGCATAGACTGTAAATACACCGTACCATGTAAGTACATATGGTATTATTTCCTAAAGTGAAAGGATGCATACTATTGAGAACTGGTTGGATATGGGACCAAATCACAAGACGGAGACATGAGCTATTACCATCACACTTACAAAATTAGAGCAGATAAATTTCTTTTGAGACCACAGAGAAGGAAAAACTTAACTTATATTTTCATTTAATAAGAGGGCATTCTTACTGACTGTTCACAACAGACTGATGGTGAACCCATGTCACCAAAGCAGACTTCAGCAAAGCAATATAGAAATTAAACTTCAATGCCTCTAAAAGGGTGTTTCATTTCATTACGTAAATGTTAAAATATAATTATATGATGCTGTCCTCCCACTCACTTTTTCTACACTGTTCTGCAGTTTACTACGCCTCTCAGTTATGCCAACGGAAACATTTTCAAGCCAAACAGAGACTGAAGCCATAGCATTTGTAGGTCAGCTGAGTATGTAACAGTGTGATTAATTATACTTTTCTAAAATATTCCACAGTGACTACAAAAACAATTTTCAATTAAGTTTTGTTGAAATTCCCTTTCTGCCATTCTAAATGCTGTTAATAGATAAAAGTAAATTGAGGTTAAGATAACATTTAATTAATTCACTATGACACTAATATAGTGTCATATCTATTCAGAGAGATACAGGGTCCATTGAAGTGGTCATATTTGGATTACAAATGAGAAGTACCTGGAATATGTGTTTAAACTTGCAAGATAATAGGCACGTGTATGTTCTCTGACTTACTAGTTGCCTGAAAAGACCCCTTTCTGTCTCTGACAGCTTGTAGAAGAGACCTAGCATGTGCAGATGTACCTCTGTGTGGCAGAAATTATGTGTGTATCTATGTGTGTGTCCATACAGAGATAAAAATATTTCTTTTTATATTTAGTTCTCTGCAATGAAGTTATTTATTGGACATTGATAAGGAATCTGATCCTTCTGTCAAGCAAAGAACTGAAAAATACTTTTGTCTAGGAAACTGTAAACTAAGAATTCATAAATCAAAACTGTAGAGACAAAATCTAGCTGTAAATGCACATTTTGGTGAAATTAAAAAGTATAAGATTTTCAATAAAAGTTTGTAAGTGATGAATATTAATACATACTTTGAACTACATAAAAAGGCACGAAAGGTGCAGGCTTTTAGTCAAGAGGAATAAAAAACACTGCTTTACTTACCAACTTTTAATTAATGTCTGGAGAGTCATGTTGGTAATCCATCGGATGTATCAGTGTGTCATGTCCTTCCTTGTGTTTACTACAAAAACGTAATGGGGCATCTCAGGTTCTCTGCTTTGGATGTGAAACTGGTTGCAGTCCTCTTCAGTTACAAGGAGCATACAAAAATCCCATTTTCCTGGATAAAAAAGGAATCAAGTGACAGATTGGTTTTGCTCACAACTTTAAAATGCTCGGCAAGGCAATATCTTCACAAGCCTCTCTTTTGGATTTTCCTAATATCTTTTCCTAGTATTTTTACGTGTCCAGGGATTTTTTTTCCCCCTCCTACTTTGTAGTGTTTTCCTCTGCCTCTCTTAAACGCACACTTTGTGGTTCTGCCAGTCAATCTATGAGTCCCTGGAAAATCTCTGTGCAGAATACTTTGGGCAATAGCCTTTTTTATTTTGGCTTCTTTATTTAGAACGAACAGCGTAGCAGCTGTTAGGCCAAATAACTTCAGCATATAATCCAAAACAAAACAAGAACTGTTCCTTATCGTTGATTTGCTCAGTATTTATTGTGCAGGGTATAAAAGTTCTGCCTCAGCAGACAATTTTACTTGCGCTCAGTTTCAGCACAACAAAGAATTTAAGAATGTATTTAATTAAAGCGTGGACATGCACTAAAAATCGAGTCTCTGTTGATCTTTGCTGACCTGGTTGTCTTTGCACTGAGTACATTTTTTGATATATGTCCACAGCCAGGTACAGTCTGTCATACAGTCTACTCTAAGTTGGATAGACAGCCTTTGTCCAAAATTTCTGAAGATACTTAATATGTCATTCTTTCCAACCAAATGATAATCTGTAGGTGGATAACATGTTCTCTAATTTCTCTAATATAAAATATATTCAATCTTGTTTTAACAGGGCAAGAAACAAGAAGTTCCTAAAGAAGAACAGGGACCGACAACAAAGAATTTGGATTTCTGGGCACAGCTTATTACTCTGATGGTCACCATCATAGATGAAGATAAAACAGCGTATACACCTGTCTTGAACCAGTAAGTACTTACTCTCCCTATAAAAATTAAGAATCATGGATTTATTAAAATATGGACAGGAAATACACCTGAATCAGTTATTATTGATTCAATTATGAATCAATTATTTTAAATATAATCTAGTTAGAGATTTTTTAAAATACAGAATATAACATTGACATAGTTTGATAAAGACTTAGCCCCCTGATCACAGAAAGAGAACCTTTTATTTTAGGAACACTAAAGACACATAGTATATGAACATCCCAAAAATTTAAGTAGCAAAATATTATACAAGAGAACTAAATGGATAGACAGAGGGAAAGTTCAGTGAAATAGTGTGATGGTAGTAATGTTACAATAGTATCTTGGCACACAAAGTGTTCGAATCATGCTGAGACTTTTTTAGGCATTATAATAGAGTTTTAGGGATGTATTTGTAAAAGAATAATGAACTTCACAAAAAGACCCTCTCCAAATTTACGATTGGCTAGAGAAAAAGCCTAGCCAGGCTGACTTGAAAATTTATAAAATGCAGAGCAATATCCTGGACTTACCAGAGATGGAAGTTGACTTCTCAGAATTGAAGATGTAACAGATGAGGGAGGTACAATCAATAACCCAGACAAGTTGAATAATTTACGGTTGCTACACTAGTAGCGAAGAGAGAGCCAATCGATAAACACAGAAGGAGGAGATAGAATGCTGAGTTTTGAAAATGAAATATACAGAAGGAGTGCAAAGGAACATATTTCACATATTAGGGCTGGAGAAATGGATGTGGCACTAATTGAAATGTGACATGATGAGGGCCTAGGGAAAAGTATTAGCTCTTTTAGCTCTTTGGAGCTATTTTACAGAGAGATTCTAGAAAATCTGGGTGTAGTCTAGCTGTGATGATTTACGCAAAAGTTAAAATTGAAACTTACATCCATATTATGGCTAAATAATTAATAGAGGTGTCTGCAGTGGCATTTAACAGAATGGTCTGAAGGGGAGCAGAACAAGTCTCTTTCTTTCAGCCAAAATAGGGTAGATACTGAAAGGCACTCTGTACATGGAGTTGTTGGCATGTCTGTATGACTCTGTACGCTTGTCTGTTGATAAAAGGTACCATACTTTTTATGGACCCACAGTATAATTACCAAAGAAACCTCCTGGTGATAGTCAGAAGTTGGAAGATATTTCATTGCCTTCTGATTCCTTCCTTTCCTTTAACTAAATGAAGGATTGTTTCAGTCCTGGATAACAAGATTCTCTTTGTTCAATCATTTCCTGCACTGAAACAAGTTCTTACCCAACAGAGGAAAGAAAACTCTTTTCCTGTTTACTCCATTTATACAACTTAGCGTGAAGTTCCTCTATTAATGAAAGCTCAATTTTTTCTCTGACTGTATAACAAATATACTTATCATAAAACATCCAACTGGAACAAATATATACATGTGTTTCATTTCAGTCTTTTCACTGAAATTAAATAAGAATTATTGAGGGTTAATTATCCTAAAAATTGTTCTAGCTATATTCTTACACAAACATCAGGGAGAAAAGAAAGGGATCAAGAACAGAGTTCCTCTGAGGGGATTAGGAGATTCCCTAAAGTGCAGCTGAGTTATTTTGTAAGATGTGAAAAGAGAATCAGGAGTGGACGGAGTTGGGACAGATTAAAGGAGAGAGCGTGTGTGACTTCTCTCCCATTTTCACTGTTTTGGAAGTGGAAAGGTGAACACAGGGAATAAAGCGTCTTTGAGAAATAGGAGACATCAGGAGTAAGAGATGGAGAGGCTGTGGGTAGAAACACTTGAAAAACTGTTCAGAGTTGCTTTGGATACATTTTTTTAAAAGAAAAGCTTCTCCTAACACAAAAGCAGCATGTAAAAACTGTTGAGAAAAATGACAGACAGCCTCTTCCCCCTTGCTTACCCCAGAAAAGAAAACGGATGAAAGGAAAATATAAGTCGAATGCATAAGAATATTGCAAAACTATGACTCCTTATCAGAAATATACGGCCATGCAGTGTCGCAGTGGAATATTCGGGCCTACGTCCATTTAAATCCTATTGTAGAAATGAGGTTACTGAAGATCCCCAGGAGAGCTCCAAGCATTCTGATAGGAGTTTTCACAATGGTATAATATTGCTCAGAATTTTTTTCCTCAACCAGTTTTGGAAACCCTATTTTTATATCTACCTTAGAGGCAAAAAAGATGCTGTGATAGAGCAGTTTGAACTGTATCAGATGGTGAATCCAGATGAAACATGACATGATTGCCTCAGCAAGCATTGCAGCAACTGAAAGACCATACCAGACCATTCAGTGGGAGTTGTATGGGCAACCTGCAGATCTTATATGACACAAGAAACTTGACAAGTTTGAGGGAAAAACATGAAGTCTGGTATTTAAGTAGTGAAATTCTCATTCTACTAGTGAAAACAATGTAAAATGTGATTGGAACCTGATTCACAAGCAAATCTAGGACGTTCTAGCACTTGTCAAATATGCATTGTACACACTGTGAGACAGCAGAAATTGCTGTCAAAATAAAATATCTGTTCAACAGATCAAGAACAAAATCTTCAACTGAAATACGCTTGCGCATTTGGAAATCAAGATCTAAACTTTGTGCACATATGCTTGGAACAGTCATGTGTGGTGTTGTAATACAAATCTAAGAAACAAGACAGCTCTGGTGGGACTTTTAAATTTGTTATTTACTGATTCTTACGTCTTTGCAACGTAAGGATCTGTTTTCTTTCCTTTGTGAACACTGTTTCATGCTCTAGTACTTTAGTACTTCTTTAGTACTTTATAGTACTGTGTTTTAGTGGCTCCTGCAGACGATATTGAAATATTGGCTTAGCTAGCCCTTGAAATTTTTAGTCTCGATCTGATAGCTAAAAATCACATTTTGAAAGGAAAATAAAAATCATAGTTACCATTCAAGAACAAATGCTATTAATGTTGTCTGAGATTACCAGGGTTGGATACCCACAAAATTATCTGATTTACTGAAGAACCAAGAAGTGATACCATTTATTATTTGGGTAAAGAAAGCATAAATGGTGTTTCAGAAAAGCTGATCAAAGATACTCAGAGAAAGTACTCAAATGTGAAATAGTATCGGAAAATCTGTTAGGAACTTGTTGGAGTTAGAGATAAGAACTTGGAGCAATGTCAGCACTATGTTCTTGGAGAAGACATAGTGAATAACCAACTCAAAAAGAATATTAGGCTAAAAATCAAAGCCTACAAGAGATGGAAGAAGAAGTTATATGATTAGCAAAGTCAAAATTTGGAAGTCAGAAAGCATTAGCTTAAAATTTAAAACGTCAAGACAGATTAAATGTTGCAAAAGAAAATAAAAGAGAGCAAAGAAAAATTGAATAAAATGGGACTAAGTTCTCTTTGCAGTGAACATGGTATTTAGTTGAAATATGATCTGGGCGTTCAGAAATTAAAGGAGGGTAACACAGAACAAGGAACCTAACTGAAGAATGCTGATGCCAACACAGAATGGCAAATAATACTGAGTGTTTGGAATTGGAAATGATCAGAGCTGCTGTAAAAGAAAGCCTCCAAGAGGTTTCACACACTCCCTCCCCATTCCACAGTGTGGAAAGAACTGGCATGTGAAATCTGCAGGTGCAGATTTCCTCATGCTTCAGGAGCTAGAATATTTAATAAATCCGTGAAGTCAAGGATAGTAACTTATATTGAAGAAACAGCATAACTGTAACTTATGAGTCAGTGAGTTATGAAATATACATCAATGTAAAAAAAACCCAAAACAACAAAAGCATGGAAGGAAGTGAAAAAAATCAGGTAAAATATATCATGAATTGGACTATGTCAGGCTAACTCTAGAATCTTTCCTTGATAATGGAAGGTGTATCTGATGTGTTTTGTGTCTTGATTCAGTGATATTGCCCATTATCAATTATACTTCATTCTGTGGAAGCATATGAATATCACTTATTTCATTAAACTTGTGAACATTATCGTGTTTAACAAAGAGATATTCTGTTCTTTCACAAGACCCACTGTCATTTTCTTATGTAGCAATGTATCATACACTTTAAGATGAGATTAATTACATAGACTGTATAAGGTATCTGTCTTGACCATTATATTTTCTTCAGGAAAAGGAACATTGCTTTGGTTAAAAACAAAAACTTTGGATAGGTGGAGGATAGAGCACAAAAAGTGAGAATAAATTAACTCTTTGCTCACAGTTTAAATAGAATATATATTTTCCAAAATCAGATAGAACTTTTGTCTTAAGAACTAGTGAAGCAGTGACCATGCCCAGCACTCCACAGACAGTGCAATCTAACCTGTTTCTGCATGCACAGCACAAAAATGAGTGTATTCACACACCCAGACCAGACTCTCTTTAGCACCTGAATGAGACTGAACCTACCAAGTATGGAACACAAGCTATTCTGAGAATGTGCATCTGAGGTTCAGGGACTTCGATATTCTTAAAATGTAGCAGACTGCAGATTTGACAGCACAAATTAAGAAAAAGCATTTTTAATTGTCATGATAGGAATTTCTTAGTTTAGGATTGAACTAGAGACATGCAGTACTATCTAGGAGAAATGCTTTTGAGGTTTATTTATGTTTTGCTTCATACATTGATTCTTCGTGTTTTCTTTCAAGCTGAGTTCAATTTGATTCCACTGATCTGTGGTTTTATATGTAGCACTTTGTTAGAACTAGCCAGTGTAAACAGTTTTCATTAAATTTTTGCTTAATTAAAATCAATAGAGAGAAGACATTCGTAAGTGGCTACCTTTTATATGCATTTTAGTATTTTTGGAAATACATGGAAATTATAATGTACGGGCAACCTAATGGTTAATTTGTTTCCCATGAAAACCTAGCATATTCTGTTTATTATGAAGTTCCACCGAATATTATTGTATGGTTGACATACGAGTTGACGATTAGAGACTGTCATGCAAGGGAGGAAGGTGATTTTAATAGCAATGTTTTGGATAAACTGAGATTTCATAGTA